ACAAGCTGCTGAGACATTTCTCAGATCGGAGTGCTGAAAATATGGTGGCTTTTATTTTTTGTGATCATATTACTTAATATCTATCTGTATGTGTTTTATATTATCTGTTGTCAGTGATATTGTATGATACAAGTTGGTATCGAGATATTGATAACTTGTTAATTCAACAGTACATCAAAATTGATATTGGATTGAGATTCTAAATCTCGATTTGAATACCAAATATCACAAAACTTGAACTGATATGAATTTTAAGAAACCTTTTATGCGGAGAAAAACCTCTAATCTTGCTCATTTGTGTCAGGTGCAGGGGTTGTTTTGTTCCTGGTATGATGCAAGCAATAAAAGAGAAAGGTTGATTTCTTCAAAGTGAATTCAGTATTTTTCATGCTAAGATTGAATTCAGTATCTTATAAACAGGTATACAAGCAACTAATTTGAATCCTGATTGGATCACACAAAGTGGCTCTTAATCTCACTTCAAATGGGTTCAAAAATTTTAGTCGATTTATTCTTCAAGTGTTTGAGGTTAAAAGTTCATTTAAGTTTATTAGATTATTTAATGTAATAAATTTTTTTTAATAAAAAAAGTATAGGGTTGACAGTATCAGATCAAATTCGCTATCAGAGAGAGCGAGAGCGCTCAGTTGCGCTCATCGGCGAGGTTAACTTGACCGACTTGATGGCAATATAAACCCTTCTACCTCCTTTCGGTGCCCTTCACGCGTTGGCTCTTTTGATTCCGTGGCGTCGCCGCCTCCAATCTTTTGTTCTTTCGTTTCGTCTTGAGCCCTAAAGAAAGAAAAGGAGATCATGGCGAAGAGTCCCATGCGGCCGCTGCTTTGGGCGATGGCCGCGGCCCGGCGGAGGCTCTTTACCGCGTCCGCAGCGTCATCGCCATCGCCATCGCCATCGTCTTCTTCGGCGGAAGCGAGAGCTTCTGAAGTAGGAGAGAGGAAGGAGTCGAAGCCCCTCTACCGCCGGTTGTCGGCGCTGGGGAGAGCACCGGCGGGTAGCGTGACGAAGACGCTCAACAAGTGGCTGAGGGAGGGGAGAACGGTAACGGCCACGCAGCTCATGAAGTATGTTAAGGAACTCCGAAAGTACAACCGCTACAGTCACGCTCTTGAGGTGATAAAAGTTCCTTCATTAACTCTGTTCCTTTTGTCCTTATGAATGCAACTATCCACTTCGTTAGAGTATCAAATTTTGGTCTTTGTTCACATCATTGCATGTCCAGGTTATCTACACTATCAAGCATCGGTAAAAAAGTTGGTCCTTCGGTGAATGTTGCATTGTTGGTTATTGTCGTTGTTCATTTTTGGGTCATGCCTTCTGCTTTATATCCTTTTCTTTGGGCGTTTTTGTTCATTGTCTGATGTTATACCAGATTTCACTGCGTTCTTGGTTCTAATAGTTGCAATATGTGCAATAACTGGTCTGGTTATACCAGGTTAAGAGTACCTTAAAATGCAACCTCAGATAAAAAAAAGCTCCCACTTTTGGAACTAACGGTTGTTTGAAGGTTTTCATGTCAACTTATGTTCTTCTTTAAAAGTGTGATTTGTTTTTATTATAGTTCAAGACCTGAAGAGACATATATTCATGTGCAATGCATGTATTTTATTTATTGTCAACTGTTTCTTAATGCCGAAATTGTTTTTATTATAAAAAACTGTGGTAAAAATTACACATGCCTTGTCAACAAAGGAGAGCTAAGCACATATAACTTATCTTGTGGATGGAAATGCTGTATTGGATGTGTGACAAGGCAGTATGGAGGTCATTTTCAATGAGTTGTGACAAAAATTCTATTGATCAGGATTCGAGAATAAAATGATGAGTAAATGCAACTAAGAGAACCCGGTCCGCAATAGCAGGAAAAGTCAAAATTCTGTGCATAAGAAAAAACTTCTTCTCTTTGTAAAGTACAAGAATTATTTGATGGTTCATGTTATAGGGCACATCAAAATTTAGTTGCAAAGCTGGTAGAGGATGCAGCCTTTGATCAATACCAAAGCATTTCAAAGCTAGAACCGATTGTTAGAAAGAAGGCGAAAAAGGTTATAAAAATAAAAAGTGACCAAACAATTCCAGTTTGCATTAAAAAGTATATATTTAGTATGAGTGTTTCCCCTTGTGCTCTGTGGTCACTTCTGTATCTGGCAATTAATTTCTTCAAGATAAATTTTGTGTGAAACTACCATCTGATCAATGACCAAAAAAACTCATGCTCTAACTAAGCTGAGGGATCAAATTCATATCTTTTTATGAATTTTACTCCATCTTCTGTTTCTGAGCTCTGGATTTTCTTATCATGCTGTACATGACATGTCTCCTTCCTAAGGTTTTCTTCACTACTGCACATTCTTGGAATAATATATACCAAAATATATGATCACCAAAATGGGCTCTTGAGCTGGTCTTAGTGATTAGTGAAGGTGATGTTAAGCCAAGTCATTCGCAAGGCATGACATGGTATTGCATTTTATCACTTGTATGCCTAAATCGTCTGTAGTTCCTAGTAGAAGCAGCTTCTGATGTTCTACTGTGAAGTAGGCAGCGATCATCATTCATAATTTATATACATCATCTCAAACTCTTCTGCATGGATGTACAATATCACAAATCTTTTGATTTCTTAACAGCTGATGGAGTGGATGTCCGGTACAAGGGGCATGAATATATCTTACACCAATCATGCAATACGCCTAGATCTCATATCAAAAGTCAAGGGTACTGAATCTGCAGAGGAGTACTTTTCTCAATTGCCAGAACCTGCCAAAAATGAGCGAACATATGGATCCCTTTTGAATTGTTATTGCTCAGGGAAAAATGCAGATAAAGCAATCTCTCTTTACAATCATATGAAGGACCGCAACATAGCATCGAGTACTCTGGTCCACAATAATCTAATGTCCCTTTACATGAAGTTAGGTCAGCCTGAGAACGCCATTACCCAGTTCCAAGAGATGAAGTCAAAGAACATTGTCCCAGATAATCTAACGTGCTGCATCCTGATGAACTGCTATGCTTCACTAAATGACATTGTATCAGTAGAAAGCGTTATAAAAGAAATGGAAGAGGGAGGTGAAGTTACTCTACAGTGGTCCGCATATAGTACCCTGGCTGCCATTTATAGTTCAGCTGGTATGGCCACGAAAGCTGAGTCAGCTCTCAAGCAGCTCGAAGGACTTGTAGATAAACGTGACTGGATGCCTTTTCACTTTTTAATCAGTTTATATGCAGGTATTGGCAAGTTAGGAGAGGTAAAAAGGATATGGATGTCTCTTAAGGAAGTGTACTCAAACCCTATCAACATGAGCTATCTCAAAATGCTTCAGGCTCTTAGTAAGCTTGATGATATTCATGGTCTAAAGCTTTTGTATGAAGAATGGGAGTCTGGTTACACAGCGTATGATCTGAGATTGACAAACCTGATGATAGGAACTTACCTAAAGAAAGATATGATTCGAGAAGCTGAGTCTATTTGGCAGAAGGCTTCAGAAAGGGGTGCAGTTCCTGATTTCTGGACTTGTGATCGGTTCTTAGATTACAGTTTGAAGAACAAGGACACAGGTTTGGCTCTCAGGTGGTTGGAGACGGCGACATCAATGGTGAAACAGGACGAGTGGAAGTTAAATGAAGATAAGGTGGACGCGTTTCTGAAAGCTTTTGAGGAAGCAAAGGATGTTGAGGGGCTAGAGGAGTTCTGCAAAAGTTTGAGGAGGCTCAAATGTCTCGACTTAAATGCATATGAAGCGCTCCTGCGAACTTATCTGGCAGCCGGTAAGAAGAACCCCGGTCTTCATCGGCGAATAAAGGATGATAAGATCAAAATTAGCTCGGAAACTAAGAAGTTGCTTCAATGGGTCTGTGCCACTAATTAGTATTTTTCGATTTGAGCAGTTATGGCATAATTATATGGAGGAACATTTGAGCGAAATGTTAGACATACTTGTTTCAGGGCACCGACTGAAATATCATGGTCACGTAGTGCTGACTTTGACACATGGTTTCTCATCAATTCTACTGGAAAATTGGGAATTCTCCATATGTTGCAATAGTTTTAGAAAGACAAGAATGCATGAATAGATTATGGTTTCTTGTCCGATGGATCACTCTGTTGCGTTCTATTTCCCAACATGAAGATCACGACCATTTGACAATTTTGATGCTGCCTCATCAGATACTTTATTGGATCAGCGTGAATTCTCGATCAAAACATAAAGATGGGAGACTTTGTTGAGGTATGGATGTCATTTAAATTAAATCATTGATCAAAATACTTAACTTGAAGTTGATATTGATATACTCATTAGATTTTTATAAATTTTAGTCTTGTTTATTTTTGATGAGAGATTAATCTAGATGTTAATGGATCGGGTTTTTTTTATATAGTTCTGTCGTACTGCTTACGTCATGGTCGCGTGCAGACTTCTATTCCATGAACCAATACAAATTAGCCTTTGGTCTTAGTAGTTTAATATTGGCGAGTTCCTACGTTTTGAGAAGCTCTCGCAGTGGATTGTAACCTCAGAGTGGCTCGAAGGGATCGATCTTTATAACGTGTTAATTACTTTGAGCTTGTGGTAGGGGTGGGGATTATTTCGAAGACGGTATCAAACCCTAGAAATAGATGCTGCAGAGAGAGAATATATACCTCGGTTCTTACTCCCGGAGACCATGGTAGTGAATAGTAATAAAGATCGATGAAATTATAAATAGTAATTAAGACTAATTATAAAGTCTTTACATTTTGTAATGATACATATATAATAGATATTTATATTATTTGTGAAATTGAAACGAACTAATATTAATTATAATTGATTATGATAAACCTGAATGAAGGTTGATGAATGGAATATATTTTAATGTTATACTATATCAACATTTGCGAGGGAAAATAATCTATTTTGGAACCGTGAAAAAAATTGGATATATAAAGAATAAATGCAGTATAAAGTGTGATGGTATATTAAACGCAATCATTAAAATGATAGTAAAGATTTTAACTTATTCTTTGTAAATAAAAAGTGTTACAATATAGACTTTGAAAAACACAGTCAAATTGTTCTGATTGATTTTTCCATTGAAAACAACACTTTAAACACACAAGATCCAAATTATCTACAAGAAAGCTGAAATCTTGAAGGATTCCCCTTCGTAATCTTAAACGTGAGATGGACAAACACTTACCCAAAGGCCATAAGCAGAAGATGAAGAAGAGATCCACCCTCGGAGCTCCAAATCAAACGCATTTGCTGTGATCGCGACTGCAAATGCATTGCGGATGATTACTTACTTGTCAATGGTAAAGCTCAATGCTGAACCAGAACAATTTTCCGTTCCCAGATCCCTACTCGTCGTCGACGAGACTTTGTTCTCTTATGCTCAAAAGCTTCCATCAGAGCGTCCAAGTCGGATACATCGAGGGACAGTTTTTCTCCAACAAAACCATCCAAGTCAAAATCACTGTCATGAGAACCTACGTACTCCGCGACTTCCATCTCACGGTTATCAGGATTGCTTGAAGCTTCACTGGAGCTGTAATTTGCTTCTTCCAAGCTTCTCAGGATTTCCTGCCCTTTCAGATCAGAGCTCTGATCCAAATTTAGCAGTCGCTTTACGCTATCAAGAGCAGGGTCGATGATATCAACGAAGCCCATTATCCACGAAGCGTCATCCACAACTTCTGTGCGCTGGTGAGACAACAAGCAAGTTAATCTAACATTCTACATATTTCGATGAATTCAATGTGTGATCATTGAATTGTACAACAAAAGCAAGGGAACTTAGCCAAGAAACCTATCAGCTGGCAATAGGACTCTCCAAAAAAAACCTAACAAAACATGTTGCATTCTTCAAGAGAGTAGTCAAAAAGTCTTTTCAACATAAAGCATGCCGATTATGATTAATACGATGCACTGTATTCTGTAAATAAAACAACTGACTGCCTGCCTTACACGCACAGTGAAGGTGGCTACTTGATACAATAAAATTAGAGATTGTATTTTGATAACCAGATAGAAAACTGCGATACGAGTACATCACCCAACTTGAAAGAAAGGATGCATGAACTACTTGGATGTGTCATGGACTAATAGTCAAATTATGCATGTGAGAGAGTTGAGCAATTGGAGTGTGTTGTCCAAAATTTGTGAAACTTGTAGAACAATGTGGCTGACGGCTCGCATACACGAAGGCTAATGCTGTAGGGGACTGGGAAAGAAATCAAGTCTAACAGGACTGATGGAGAACATGTACTGATGGAGTCTATAGGCTTAGCTTACTGATGTGGGATTAGCTTACAGAATAACCAGCAATCCTTAACGATCCAATTATATACTTATGGAAGCTATAGGCTCCTAAAGATGATGCGGACAAAAGCGAGAACATGACCTGCCCTCATAACACTCAGCTCAGATTCTGTTTCCAAGCCTTTGGGGCCGGACTTTCCGACTATTGTGGATCATGAGCCAAATCCCATCCCCCAGGTAGCAAGTTCAAAGCATCATGAGATTAAACATAGGCCTAATTACAGATCTAATGATGGAGACTCAATTAAAAATTTTAATAAAGATGTAATCTGGGTGCGAACATGGCAACTAGGGAATAAGTGTTTTCATTTATGTATAGTCTCAGAAGTGTGTTTGACTTGTTGGAATAATGGGATGAGTTATTATCTCCAAATTTGGTTGGACTTATTGGAACTGTAGGTAGGGTAATTGTCTTGGAAATTATTTATGACTTGTTGGAAATGTGACTTGAGTTGATATAGTTGTTGGAAGTTGGGACTCATGATAATTTAAATCCTACAAATAAAACAATTCTAATGTATTCAGCAGAGAACGATTATTGAAATGAAAATCATCATGAGTTAATCCTCTTAGATCTCTCTACCTTCCTTATCTTCTCTTCTCTCCTCTTCTGTTCTCTTTTTACTCTCTTCCCTTCTCCCAACTAGTACTACATCACATCTGTGCATAGGGCTCTCAAGCTTCATTTTGGCTTGAGCCAGTCTTCTTCATCAATGCTAACAGTGTCTACCGTATACAAACCTGGCTGGTATATACTGAATCAGCAGTTATAGATGGACTAAAGTGACAAACTAACAAATTTTACCCCTTTTTTTTTGGGGTGAACTGTCTATATAAATATATTCTGCCCAGAAGATCCATTACCAATGACATCAACCCCAAATCCAAAAATGGGAGCTGCATGAAGAAACTTAAAAAGGCTCTCTAGGCACTTAATTGATAACGTTAACATGAGAGATGCTTCCTCTGAACATGCAAAGGTGAATTTAAAGCTAAGGCCCAAAATATGGTGCAAATTTCATCTAGTCGAGGAACACTAATCCAAGATTTTTAGACAAAGGAAAAGTTATAGGTGAGGCAGGAGGATAATAATATTCATGATTGGTGATAATCTAGGAAGCATATCAAAGTTAATATGAAACAAAATGCACATGATTTATATATAATATCAAGAAAAATGTGGTTTCAGCTCACTAGATACTGAAAAAAAATCCATTTCCATCTATTTATCTCTCTAAGTTCAATATATCAAGTATATTTGTATTGATTATTGAAACAATCCTTATGATTTTGAGAAGCAAATAAACCAAAGAGAACAGACATGATCTTCAAGATAATATAACATTACAAACTTTCAGTTAGGAATACAATATAAAGGTAAAGTAGGATAACTTGAAGTCACTCACCTGCTGGTAATAAAGGTTACGAATTTCTTCAGCTCGTACAGGATTACCTTGCTGCTCCTCCAATGATGCCCATGTCATCCATGTTATGTAACTTTGAGAATTTATGTTTAGTGAAGATCTAAACAATCTTCTAGCAACTGTTAGGTTGCCATTTCTTTGCTCTAAGACACCCCATGCCTGCAATGTTACACCAATCATATTCTACATGAACAAGTTGCTTTCCTATGACAAGGTTAAGCGATAAGAAGTTACATAATCATAGAAAAGGTCACTGGTAATTACCTTACAGTCCTGAACTAAATGGCAGTATTGGTAGGCTTTTGTTGTATCTTGAAATAAAAAATTATTGTCCAACATATGCATTGTTTCCGAAATCACTAATCATGGGCACGATTAATAACTGTCTTCGATATAAAAATAACGCATCAAATCTCAACCTAGTATATTTGCTTACAAGATCTTATGGAATGTAAAATCTATTTTCCTTAGCTGACATGCCAATTTGAGAACAGATTTAGTTTTGCTAATAATAAGAATTTAGTGCAACAAACAAACTTGTACAAAGTTCTAGTGAATCCTTCATTACAAATTTCTCTTATGAATAGATAGCATCATTGTTGCAATCCTATTTGGATGTTGCTTATGGCCAAAGCTCTAGCACAAACGACCAAAGTTTCAGTTTTGCAGAATATCCTTTGTTGCCAATGTGCCTACCAACATGTCTTATGCCAGGCCACTTTTTTCTGTACAAATTAATCTATTTACACTAATCAGGTTATCTTTGGTTTGCATAAGAATATACTGTTGGCTAAATAAATGAAAAACTACTATGGATAACTATATTTGATATCAATTTCATATGTCAATAGTAATTTTTCAGGAAATTTCATATGTGAAAACTTTATATATTACTGAAAAAAGCATGCACATGCGGAGAGGAATCAGAGCATGGTTATACAGAAAAATACATAGGGAAAAAAACTGCAATCATTGAGAACAAAGCACAGGTAATCCAATTTAGAAATTGATACATAATAATATTGGAATTTCAAACCATATAATGATACTATTTCTACCTGAAGGCAACGAGCAGCACTCTCAGTAGTTGAATCAATTGATAAAGCCCTTTGGTAAAGTTCCCTTGCTGTGTTAATGTTTCCTTCTTTCCACTCCATCCATCCCCAAGCCTAGAATATAAATAATGAATTACTTAAATAACTTACAATTTTAAAATTAGTGATAAAATCTGAAAGAACATCACTGATGTTTACTGGAAGTTCCTAAATGCTAAGACCACTTGAACCCAAAATGTAATCAGCTTCTAGGTAACAAAATCCATATCAAATACATCTACACCACATCCAGACCCCTAGTGCCAGATAGTGACTACAATGCACATGCATCACTTACTCTTCGCCCTGTTTCTACCATTTGCTGATTCATTATTGTGACTCTTGCTCATTCCACATATATTTATTTTATTTTCCTATATTTCTCAATTAAAATATCTTCTGTAAGTAGTTTTCTCAAATTATAGTTTATATTTTTTCCTCAAACATTTTTTTCCTTTAAGATTTGGCTGCCAATTACACACCTAGTAAATGAGAGAAATAAAGAATCTACATACTGCCTAAGAAAGATATAGGCATCCCACTTTGTCGAGTCCTGCTCCCCTATGATTCCCTTAATCCCAAACAGTCTAATGAATTGTACTTGCAGTTGGGAGAATCAAGGATTGCCTTTGGGCTCATGCAGCAACACAAATTTCAACATAAATGTAATAGAAAGTTCAAAATTTCTTAGCTTAGGTATATGATTTGCCCTGACCCAAAGATACAAAGTAACAAATATACAAAATCTCTTCATCGTTTTATAACACCCAAAAATATCAAGCTGGCTCATGTCTCTTTTGATGTTGATCATTACAGGCCTCTTAAATTGCTCTTCCATGTTTTTTTTTTGTCTGATACATATTGGCACTTGTTTTTCTGTTAATAGGAATTGCTTGTTGAGATCCTATGAGTCAATTGGCATTTAAATGTTGTGGTCCCTTTTTGGTATGAAATGATTGTGTGCTGGCTGACACGTGTCCCAGTATCTACAGCACGAGTTGGCATGGCGTGTGTTGTTAATTTTCTGTAACATAATTTCTGGCACATTATGTTCGACCCATGTGGACATGTGGCAATCTGCACGGCAATCCATATAAAACATACACTATCATGACAACACATAGATAATATATTAACTAAATCTTTAGAGAAAAGTACTGATGAGCTTTATTATCTCAGAGAAAGATGTCTACCACTCCTAACTTATGGACGACAACAGGAACAAAATTATTATCATCAAGTTACCGTATGCAACCTCCATATAGTTATCAGACTACCAAATTGGTAAATATGAAGTGTAGAGAAAACTTCTTACAATCCAAACAGGTTGGTGCCTCGGGTCTAGTGCAGATGCCTTTCTGAACAGGACACGAGCAAGATTTGCAGATGAATGCCTATATTCCAGCAAGGCAAGAGACTGAAGTATGACAGGATCTCTAGGGTTTACTGCATGACCAATCTTCAAAAGTTTCCTTCCTTTGTCGATATCACCCTCCTGATTTGCTTCGAACAATGCCCAAATATGCCATGCAAACCTGTTCTTTGGACTGGCCTGTACTGCTTTCTGTAAATAAAGTGCTATATAAAATTAAAGAAAGAAAGAAATATCTCAGAAATGGCAAAATGATGCAAGAATGCACAATGAAGAAATTCCAAACTACATAGGCAAGATGGATGCCTAAAGGACAACAACCTATAGTACCTAAGTATTTCTAAGAAAGTGAAAATAATTAGCCTTTTAATGTTCTTGCCACTATCAGCTTCTCTAAATAGAAAAAATGATGCTAAGAACTACGCAAAGCTTTGAACCAAGATATGAGATGAACCAATATATTTGATATTTGAGTGTAAAAATTAAGAGACGCTATTGAAGATAATCGGAAGTAAATGAGTATGCATACTTATATTTGAGACAACAGTTGCTATATACCAGTTGAATGTTTGCAGCATGTAATGAGATGAACAAGGAAAACTGGGTGAAGTGACATGATAGAGAATGCAAAGTTCCCAAGTAATTAAATATTGCCTGTTTCCATATGGTACATTGGGAATTTACTGGTCCAACCGTCAACCTAGATGCATAACAGATAAAATCAGGTGGTTCAAGCCCGATACTGGGCTGTCTCTCTCTCTCTCTCTCTCATATACTCCCTCATACTCTCTTCCTAAGCTATCCCAAAGGGCACCAGAATCTCTCCAAATCCCCTCCAAAACAATAGGGGAAGTTGATTTCTGCAAGAAGAGGATTCAATCTCCAGATTTAGTCCAAATTCTCTTTAAATCAAGGACTTCTGAATCTCTACATTTCATGTAAATAGGTTAGGACAAATGTTAATCTTGCATGATTAGGTTGGTTCTCTTACATGTAGACCTGATTGAGGGCTTAACTTACTAGACTTATCTATAGATTTGACTGCTGATCTAGACTAGATCCATGGTTATCAAGCCTTGATCCACATGGATCTAGCCTAGATTTTTGAATCTAGCCCTAATGGTTTAGCTTTGATCTATCCTAATCTAGTCATGTCCATTCAGATCTATCTTGGATCTAGACGGATCTAAGCTTGATCTTTGTGGATCAAAGCTAGATAGCCTTGATCATCGACCATCCATCTCCATTTGGTCTAGATCTATTTGGATCTGGGATAGATTTGGTCTAGATCCATTTGGATCTGGGCTAGATCTTCATGAATCTAAGCTAGATTTTCGTGGATTCAGTCTTTATTTTGATATGATTATGAATTTGTGGATCTGACATATGTTGACAACCTTTTTGTAGGAAAATGGTGCTAAGGCAGAAAAATCCTGATCCGCATGGCAATATGACCGTCGCATGGAGGCACATCATCATCGGTCAAGTATCCATTACAATTACATTGGTGGCGTCAAAAAAATAACCCGTCTGAAGCAACATTTGGCCAAGGGATTTTCAAATGTTCAAATATGCAAAAAGGTATAAGAAGGGCCTTTTGAGCAGAACTCGATGCTTGCAAAGCACTGGTGCCATATTCTTCGATAACAATGCAAATCTCTCTATTCTGTTGAGGAAAATTCTCTTCTCGCTGTTGGACTCATCACCGATGGCTCGTAAAATCCATCTTGGAGGGGCATGATAGCAGATAAAATTTTCTCAACTATATGAGAAAATCTTATCTGCTTTATTAAAGATGCTTTAGGTTGAATACATTAACATGTCCCTCTCCTATTTATACAGATTAGGAGAGAGAATTTTCCTTAACAGAATAGAGGATTTTCCTCAACAGAATAGAGGATTTTCTTACCTCTTGGTGCAACTAAGGGATCATTATAAGAATGACACCGAAAATCAAATTTTGCAGTGTGGATCTGTCACAAACCACAACATGCAACAGTTGCAAATGTACTTGGTCGAAATGTGCCTTGATTCACAAAATAAAAGTTCACAATTGACTCTCATACAAATAATTAGAGAAATTAGTCTATGTCCCTACAATATGTGTTGTGCATGGATCTTGCAAACACATCATTGATATACAATTTCATCATATCGAAGACCTCGTTCCACCTTTCATTGACTCACATCATTCATTTTGGTGGTAGGAGCACTGTTTCTAGATGCTACTTTCAATCTTTATTTGATATATGTTTCAATTTGGTGTTCTATTATTTGATAGTTTAAATTCACTTTATTGTTGTCTAATATGATTGCATATGTCAAGAAAAGGGAAGAAAGAATCCTATAGTATTGGTCTCTTTTATTTTTCAGTCTTTTCCTGAAGCTCAATAGTCAATATATACTGACACACAAAATATTGTATGAGTCCGGTATGTGAAATTAAATATAAATTGAAGTCTGGTGCGTGACACATTATAATTTTCACCATTTTGCAATATGTACTATGAAACTAGGTTGAATAATGGTCTTGTCTAGCTGAATTATAGCCTTGCAAAAGCATTAAATGCATATAAAGCCATGTCAGCATGTCTAGCTATGATTGCTAATTAACATGAACATTTGAATAACGACCTCATAATTATTACCTTTAACTGCTTTTAGCTTTGTGGTGCTCATTTTTTTTCTGCAATTCGAGTTAATAACATATATTTTACTATACTTCCAAGAGCACTATTCCCTTAGGATCATACCATGCACTGGAAATAGCCATCCGTGCTCTCTCTTGTTGAATGATCAAATAAATATTTTGAATTACTATTGTTGACAACATCATTCCTTTTTTGTCGTTTTATTTCTTGGTTTTCTTGTCTTTTTTTGGGGGGTATGGAGAAGGATAAATAGGTGAAATGTCAGTATCATACAAATGAAATCATACTACAGACACCAACATGTTCGGTGTCACATTTTACTTCTTGTGTTTATTGTGATGCTAAACAAAACCCTATCAGATTTTCTTTATGACCTATGGTGTCAACTGACACAAAATGGTGTCTCCTCATATGATCTTCAAGTTCCTCATATATGCAAGGCAGGGTGCACATTTTGTCAAAAAGAAGAGAAGTACTGATTAGGGTAAATTAAGTGACCAAGAATAACCTGGAGAAAAATGTCACCTCGAAGAGCTTTCGAGCAGTGTAATTGTTCTGTTGTTGCATTTCTACCTGAGCCCATGCCTGTTTCAAGAGATGCCCATATGAATTAGTCAAACAAATTTTCATCCATAAATAAGTAGCAATTAAACAAGCCCAGTGTTAAAAGTCCAAAACACAACTTACTAGCCAACTGGCACAACTTTTGGGATTGCATTTGGTAGCTTGCTGGAACAAATACCTTGCCCTCTTAAACCTCTTCCCTTTTGCTTCAAGTAATGCAAGAGTTTGGTATATGTACTCATTTCCACCACAGTATTTAAGTCCTTTGGTGAGAAGATTCCTTGCCTTCTTTATATTTCCTTGCTTTATTTCTAGAACTGCCCATCCATGCCAAGCTGCAATGTGTTTCTTGTCAGCTACAGTAGCAGCATCAAAGAGTTCTCTTGCTCTACGTATATTTCCAGCCTTATTTTCAAGGACAGCCCAACACTGTTCAAAGACAAAGTGCAAGATTTGAATAACTTAATATTCATCAAAAGGAATAGTACAGAATCAAATGCAGTTAGTTTAATTTCAGGAAGAGCAATACAAAGTAAGGCATTAGCTGCTTACATGTTAGTATGGCTTCTGAAAAAGATATAAAAAATAAAAAGATTTAATCAACTTAAAACATGGAGTGTGATATGACCTGTAAAAAACATTCACAAGAAACATCTTCAGTTGTCTCTCTCATAAATTAGCGGATCATCAAGTTTAGCAGCAATCTCCAGATAACCATGTATTGTTTCTGAACATAATTGGATCTTAAGAATTCAAACAAGATCAATAAGAAAAAGAATTTCATATCCACAGATATCAAATTTAAATTTGAGGTAATATCCAGTTAATCTTATGTGTTGTTTTAACACAACTTACATTTAAAACATATAAATGAAGCAATCCAAGTCTTAAACATCTATTACTCGCTGTATATTTATCCATAACCAACATATTTGCTCTCGTTTACTAACTTCACACATGTAATAGGTATCTAAGAGATACAAGAGTAGTAAAATATCGAATTCATGCAATACTAAAATAAAATGCTAAACAACCTGCCAAATATAGGAATTTTCTCCCTGTGTAGCTTGACAACCTCTTTCATAAACTGACCTAGCTTCTGCAAATTTTGACTGCTTGCATAAAAGCTTTCCCTGGGCCACGTAGGCTCGTCCATCTTCAGGCCAAAATGAGATGCACTGTGTTCAAACGAAACATAGAATCAACAGAACTAATCTAGGCTTCAACAATACAAATGTGAGGATGCACTATGTTATAATTGCTTGGAAAACTCAATGAATAAACATATTAGAGTCATGTATCATCCAACCCCCACGAATTGTTGGTGTCTGGAATAAGAAATTTATATGACATTTCTTTATTCTGGCAAATAAATATACCATGAAATATATTAACAATAAATGTTTAATGTTTCAAATGATCAATTTGCGCAATGTCCAATAGCAATGCTAAAACGGAATTCTAAAGAGACTAATATATGGCCAAGGGAAGATTCGAATTTTCATGTGGTTTCCATGCTTTATATAGACACTTGTGCTTGATAAACAGGCATTTGAATTTGATGCACAAGTGCAGCTTGATATTCTTCCCATCAAAAAACCCATGCTACGTAAAGTTTAATTCTTCTAAGGACAGGACTCTGAAAGCGTTAATTTGCATACCTTACCTATCTTGCATAGCCTTCTTCATATTTTATATGCCATCATTTTATATTTTTCATATATTTGATGCCATAACTCTTCACTTCAGATACATACTTAATTGTAGTCAACAATCAGGATTGACTGGTCAAGGGAAGAACACATATGAGTCTCGATCATCAGACGACTAGTAACCAATAAATAATTATAGAAAAATACAGAGGATTTTACAAAGAAATATATTTTCTGGTCTATGCACTTGATACAACAGCAGCTTAAACCCTGCAACATTGCAGAATGTAGATCTCCAAAATATGGAAGGAGGGAACTTTAATATATTGTATAATTTAAACCTCTTAAGCAACCTCTACACTCAAACACTTTTTATGCTTATCTTTAGTTAAAAATTTCATAGTGTTTATCTTGCGGCACCCGCGATTTAGGTAAACGGAGAAAACTAAGTACACATCTATTTGCGTTGACAATCCAATAAACTGATGCCCATCTTAAAACCATTAGGACCCAATCTAAACTTATAATATAACGGACAACTGCTGCAGGTAAACATTATTGACTATGTAGACATCCATTTGCATCGAGAATCTAATAAACTGATGCCCATATTAAACCAATTAATTCCTATCTAAACTCGTCATTTAACGACAACTGCAGCAAACCAAACTATAAAAAGGAAAAAAGGGTACCTTAAGGAGAATTTCTTCAGCTTCTTTAAACTGGAAATTCCTAATGAGGACCTTGGCTCGATACAAAGCCAACTCCAAGTTAATCCCCAGCGGCCTCTCCTCGGCACCTACGACCCGCTCCGGTTCAAACATCGGCATCTTCTTCGCGAAGTCCGACAGCCGCCTATCAATATTCGAAGAAGGCGTGGTTTTCTCCTCACCCCCGCTCGTCTTGTCGGATTCCACCAAAGAACTGACCGCCGCTTCTTCGAGACCCTCCTTCACCGGCCGACGGACAACGAGGAGTCCCTCTGGACCGCCCCCCTCATCTGGGTCCTCCAAGTCCTCTTCGATCTCGTCGTCGTCTGACACGGACGAGAGGACCTGTTCTTGAAGGGGGGCAGGTGATGAGGTCTTGGAAGAGGAGGGAGGAGATCTGAGGAGGGGAAGAGAGGAGAAGGATCGGATCGGGAGGTGGGAGAAGGATCTGGGTATGAGATTCGGGTTAGAGTTAGGATTCGGGGAGGAAGGGGAAGGGAAGAGAGGGAATTGGGATTTGGGAGAGGAGAAGACCTGCATTGCTCCCACCCCTGCTTACTCTCTCTGCCTCCCTCCTCGGCCACTGGATAAAACGGCATGGGGAAGTGGCTAAAAGGCGCGCGTCTGGATCACACGAGTTGGACAGGTCTAATTACTTTTGTGCCCATAACATTCGCACGTGCGATGGATGGTGGCGGGTTCTGCCGCGGGTGTTCAAGCGATAGGGGGGGTGTTTTGGTCACACGGAGATACTACGAGGATTTGTGGAGGTGGTGCAGAATTAGCCACGTCGGTGACCACGGCTCAGCTGCTGGCGCTTGTCAACCAATCGTTCACTGAGCTTTACGATTGAGAACTCGGTTGATTGAAATCTGATGTGATTGATATCAGAGACCCCAACTATGGACACTCTCATCGGACGGTCCGGACCTTAACCGGTTCGCCCTCTCGCCAATTAGACCGACCACATGATTATTAGCAGTCGGCCGCTCTCCTCGAAAGATCCGATCGAAGGTAAACGGGTTCGCCTCGTCGATGATCAAACCGGTCAGATCGTCAACTCACACCATATAAGCCATCAGACGCACTCCTCTCATTCGCCGGGTCCGGTCGAAGGCTTAGGGTTTTGGATCGAACTCAACGAGGCCGGTCAAGAGAGGAGGAAAGCTCCATCGATCGGAGTTCTCGTTCTCGATCCCTTTGTTCCCATCCTCGATCTCATGCGGATCTGACCTCCAAGATCCAGATCGAGAGCGATGGCGATCGGTGGTCTCATCCTCGGCTTTCTTTTCGCTCTCTTTGCCTCACCAGCTGCCGCGGATGCGATCCATGGCTGCGGTGGATTCATCGAGGTTAGGATCCCGGATCCAATTCACGTTCGAGAGTTCCTCGTTCTTTTGATCGTGTTAACCTGGCCAATTTGCTTTCTCGCTTGCTTTATTGACGAATTAGTGGTGGTTCTCGCAGGCGAGCTCGCCATTGGTTAAATCAAGAAAATCTTCGGATGCAAAGTTGGATTATTCACACATAAGGGTACGTTCTTAAGAGTTTAATGTTCTGCTTTGTTGTGTTTCTTTGAATTGTTAGTTCATTGTGTGTCCGTGGTGAGTAAATTACTATAAGCCTTGCTGAGTTTTAGATATTACTGTGCATGCTGTGTTTGTATAATTGAACCACGGATTATACTGCTAGGCTCACTTCTCGATTTGAATCTACTTATATTATTCGAATTTCTGGCAGCTACTTGCTTATTTATTTCGTATTTCTTGTATATATATAAAATATAAATATTTCATTTTATTTAATATTTTGTAGTGTGTTTTTCTTTCTGGTAGATTTATTGGGACTTGTTTGTATATTGTGTATTTCCTGTCTGGACTGTGGATTATCTAACATCACAATTTGATTTAGGTTGAACTGTGCACGGTTGATGGGTTGGTCAAGGAGCGGACACAATGTGCTCCCAATGGTTATTATTTTATCCCAGTTTATGACAAGGTGTGATATTTTGTAGTTATTAGTGTTTGTTCCGTTTATTATACATATGCTGAATAAGCTACACCTGATAGACTATGATGCACCACTGTTACTTATATAAACGTAAACATGACGAATGACAAGTTGCTTATCCTTCTTTATTCTTAAGCAATTGAGTTGCATGCCATTATTGTAATTTTATAAAGCATGGGATATCCCTTGTGTGTTTATATATTCTTGTGTTCAGCACCATTGCCTGGAATAGGAAGACTCAGGTATCTGACTGCACTTTATTATCTAATGTATTGGGGATACCTATACAAGTTATCTTTTCCACCTTTTGCGGGTGTTGTGATGGCTGTAATTTTTCCTTGTTTTGTTGGTTTCATATATTATCAAACATAACCAGCTCTAGTGCTTGTCATTTTAAATCATTATCAACAATTTTTGTGCTGCTCATCCAAATTCTTGATGATGATAACTGTGGTGCTCATACATTTAAATTTATTTTAAAGTTAAAAACCATCTTTGAAGCAAGATGTTATTGTGTTTTTTCTATTTTTCCAATGAATTGGTTGATAGTTGGAAAAAGCAGTAGCTCTTGTTTAAACTTGAAAATCACATGAAATAGTTCTATTCATGGACTCCCGTATTGACCATTACTTGTTGGTCCATTTGTTCTGGCATGCCACATACAGATACCTCTTCATTATCATGTTGGCATGGACTTGTAAGGCAGAGAACCCTTTTTATTTCTCATGTTTCTTGTTCTTTGAATCTGAATCAAACATGTGATTCACCAGCTCAAGTAAAATTGTCAATTTACTGATTTCTGTGCCTTTTTTTTCATTTTTTTGGTAAGTCTATTCCACTAGCATGTCTGTGTTGGTGTCACATCAATGAGGCTCACGCCGATGGCCCATAGCGCACCAGTCTTGTACTGGCATGAGGGAGCACCATCCTTGATTTGAACTGCTCTTTTTTGTCATTCACTTTTATGGAATGTGGTGATGTTTCATACAGCCGCTTTCAGCCTAAAAGGCTGAGTAGCGTTTGATTCCATTCCAACTGTTTCTGTTATCAAGCCTGTGGATACCGAAGTCATCCATCCCAACACTTCCTAAGAAAGTGCTACTCATGATCTCTGAACCAACAATATTTGCTATGATACAAAGATGGACAAAAAAAGAAAGAAACAATTTTGTAGGCATCTAATTCAGTCTGGATTTCTGTTTTGTTGTCTATATCAAAGTATCAAACATACATTTGCTTTTTATGGTCTTGAAGTTATTGCTCATTTGTTGGGTATGTTTCTGTCTTAACCTATAAGCTGGATTGAAGTTTGAAGTCTGAACCTGCTTCCTGTCGATAGCCAAGAACTGAAGCCTCCGTATCATTGTCTATGTTTGTTGGGAATGTTTTGGTTGCTGTGGAAGTTTAATTTTACATCATAAATATTTGTTTTCTTTTCAGCATCAGCTATTTAATGCCTCAGTGTATCACTTCTTCATGCTACAAGCGCTTGCAAAGGAACTGTATTCAGACTCTAGATCTACCTTATAATTTTGTTTCATAGGATTCAGCCATCTTTCTTTGTAGCATTGCTGGAGGGTAGTATGAACAAATGAATAAGTCTCTGTCTCTGTGATTGTGCTAAGCAACATTCTGGGATCACCCTACTAAATTGTCAACATACTGTCATTTGGAGCCTTCATTATTTCTTCTTTGACACCGCAAAATTAAACCATCGAATTTGATGCATTGTCATTATGTTTACACATTCATTACCTTTTTTTAACTTCTCAAACCTAACACGAAGAGTCGCTGATGGTTCCTTATTTTATTAAACCACAAAGAAGTCTTCCAACTACCTTTTATTACAGAATAAAGACATTTTGTTAAAAAATACATTAATTTTATGAGTATATTGCCAGAAGTTTTAGGGAACAAGGTTCGCAATATCGTACCGTACCGGTATTTCGATCTGGGCTCGGTACCGGTACGGTACGGTATACCGAGCGATACACCCAGGTGTACTGAGTACAGTACACTGCTACAGTACTATAGTACTCTCGGACCGGTAACAGTCGGTCCGTGTACCGACAACCTGTCGGACCGGTATGTACCGCCTGTACCGGGCGGTATGACTCGGTACAGCAGACCCTGCTATGGAAGACACTTTAACATTACAACAGTAGATTACTGGTTGACTGAGTCATGTGATCTGATTGGCATACCCTGGCACGAGAATAGCTTGGCCTTAGTAGATAATTGCTAATACCAGAACTGATGTAGTATTAAACTCACTTGCTAGCCAAAACTGCAATTCTTGGTTTGAAGCATGTTGTTTTGCATATTTTGTTACTTCTATATGATGTTTGATTGCTACTACCTCATTTAACAGGGTTCATTTGTTCTCCGAGTAAAGGGGCCTGATGGATGGTCATGGAAACCTGATAATGTGAGTCAATGGGCAAACAAGTTAACTCAGTCTTCTAGTGTTGATTATATGAACCTCGTATCTGCTGTGCAGGATGTATTTTTTTCAGTTGTCAAACTATGCTCTTTATGTAATGTTACTGGTCATAAAACTCTGCAGGTCAATGTTATTGTTGACCAAGATGGCTGTAATGCAAATGCAGATATCAATTTCCTTCTCACAGGGTATGGGCCATGCAGACAGATTTCCCAATTCCTTTTTTTTAATTGTCAAAAGAAAGCATCTTGGTTGTTTTTGTCCATAAAGCCTGATAATACTTCTTATTTTTTTCTTTTCTACTTCTGTAGGTTCACGCTATCGGGAAGGCTCATTGGTGCTGTTGGCGGTGAAAGCTGTCCCATAAAAGATGGAGGACCTTCTGGTGTAAAAGTTGAGCTATTGTCAATATCGGATGACCTTATTGCATCTTCTTTGACATCGGCAATAGGAGGTTATTCATTCACAAACATCATTCCAGGTTTGACAAGTTTACTTTTCTTATGTCTTTTTACCTTAACTTCAGAGTAGATAAATTTGTCAAACAAGCTAATTAAGCTTCTGTTTTACATTCAATTACATTGACTTTTATATTATGTCACTTTATGTTTTTCTATTCTGTACTCATTGGAGAACTAAAGCCGTATTTGGGCTTGGGAAATTCCCACTAGCTATTCGCTTGCACAAATTTACATATTTTAGAATTTAAATTTAGCAGACTATTGCGACTTGTCCAAGTTTAAGGAGCTGCATAAGATACAAACAAATTGCAGGCAAGTACAAAAAGTAAGAGATAGGAAATAAATGTCTTCTGTTTTAGCTTTAGCTATGATACAGGATACAGATGATGCCATACCAGCTCTCGAATTATATATAAAGATAGGTATTTGGACACATGTATTGCAAAAGGACCAAATAGGGGAAGGGTGTCCTTCACACAGTAAAGATGATTAAGTATGAGAGTCATTTCTAGCTTGATGAGTGTCTTGAATTAGAAACTAAGATTCTTGGTGTTATGGTAAGTATAAGATTAAGACGTGTATACTTTGACCCAAGGTTTTTAATTTCGAATAATACCGCCCGGTACGTACTGGTCTGCCAATAGATCGGTACATGGACCGCCCGCT